GGCAAAAATAACCATGACTAACATTTATTGATCGCTTAAGTATGTGTAAGGCACAATGATCCAAGTATTTAATTTTGTCATAATCCTATTAGTAGTTATAATTTTGTTAATCCCATATTATAGTTGAGGAAATTCAAGCCCATAGCAAATGGGTAAGTAATTTGTCCAATTAGTATGTTCACATAGGAATATTGGCAATAAGAAAGGGAAATAGATGGCTTGTTTCCTTATATAAGCAAGTGAATTATAAAATCCTGTTAGCACATAGAAGTAAAGTTAAGATTATATAAAATATAATTATATAAAATATAAAGCAATATAAGCAAGTGAATTATAAAATCCTGTTAGCACATAGAAGTAAAGTTAAGATTATATAAAATATAATTACATAAAATATAAAGGCCTCTGGACCTTTCTGATTAAGATAACCATCATGTCTGATAACAATATAACTAGATCAATAGACTTTCGTAACTTTTGGATATTTTTATCAGTAGCACTTTACATTATCATAATTTAAAATCTGTTGGGAGGGTCTTTATTCAATCTCCATCTTGGTTATTGGTCTATATAAGTTTTCTATCTCTTCATGCCTCAATTTTGGTATTTTGTATTTTGTATGTTTCCAGAAATCTATCCATTTCTTCTAGATTTTCTAATTTGTTGGCATAAACCTATTTGTAGTATCCTTTTCATCTCTGATTTTTTTTTTTTTTTTTTTTTTTTTTGGGACAGTGAGAGAGAGAGAGAGAAAGGTCTTCCTTTTGCCGTTAGTTCACCCTCCAATGGCCGCCACAGCCAGTGCGCTGTGGCCGGTGCACTGCACTGATCCAATGGCAGGAGCCAGGTACTTCTCCTGGTCTCCCATGGGGTGCAGGGCCCAAGGACTTGGGCCATCCTCCACTGCACTCCCGGGCCACAGCAGAGAGCTGGCCTGGAAGAGGGGCAACCGGGACAGAATACGGCGCCCCGACCGGGACTAGAACCCTGTGTGCCGGCGCAACAAGGTGGAGGATTAGCCTAGTGAGCCGCGGCGCCTGCCGTCTCTGATGTTTTAACATGGATCTCCTCCCTCGTTTTTTGGTTACTTGAGTCAGTGGTTTATAACTTTGTTTATTTTTTAAAAAAACAGTTCTTCATTTCACTGATCTTTTATGTGTTTTTTTTTTTAAATTATCAATTTTGTTCTCTAATTTTTATTTCTTTCCTCCTAATAATTTGGGTTTAGTTTGTTCTAGCTTGTCTAGGTCCTTGAGATGCATTGTTAGATCATTTATTTGAAGCCTTTTCAATTTCTTAACGTAGGCACTAATTGAAGTAAACTTTCCTCTTAACACTGCTTTTGCTGTATCCCGGAAGTTTTGATATGTTGTGGTGTCGTCTTCATTGCTTTCCAGGATTTTTCTTTTAATTTATTCTATGACCAACTGTTCAATCTTATTGTGTTTGCGTATTTTCTAGAGATTTTTAAGTTGTTAATTTCCAGCTTCATTCCATTGTGGTCAGAAAAGATACATGATATGATTTCAAGTTTTTTGAATTTGCTGAGACTTGTTTTATGGCCTACCATATGGTCTGTCCTAGAGAAAGTGCCATGCACTGATGAAAAGAATGTGTATTCTTCAGCTGTGCGATGAAATGTTCTATAGGTAACAATTAGATCCATTTGGTCAATAGTGTAGATTGGCTCTGTTGTTTCTTTGTTGATGTTTTGTCTAATTCATCAGTCCACTGATGAAGGTAGGCTGTTGAGATCCCCTATTATTATTTTTTTAAGATTTATTTATTTGTTTGAAAGAGTTACAGAGAGGCAGAAGCAGAGAGAGAGAGAGAGAGAGAGAGAGAGAGAGAGAGGTGTTCCATCTACTGATTCACTCCTCAGATGGCTGCAATGGCTGGAGCTGCACCGATCCGAAGCCAGGAGCCAGGAACTTTTTCCAGGTCTCATACTCAATGCAGGGGCCCAAGGACTTGAGCCATCTTCCACTGCTTTCCCAGACCATAGCAGAGAGCTGGATCAGAAATGGAGCAGCCAGAACTAGAACCGGTGTCCATATGGGATGCCAGCACTGCAGGCTGCAGCTTTACCCACTAGGCCACAGCGCTGGCTCCCCCTATTATTGTATTGGAGCCTATGTCTCCTTTTAGATTCATTAACGTTTGTTTTAACAGCCAAGTGCCCTAGTATTGGGTACATATACATTTACTATAGTCACATTTCCTGTTAAATTGATCCCTTAATCATTAATTAATGTCCTTCTTTGTCTCTTTTAACAGTTTTTATTTTAAGATCTATTTTGTGTAATATTAGGATGACTAGGTCTGATCATTTTTATTTCTGTGTCCATGGAATATCTTTTTCCCTCCTTTAATTTCTGATATGTGTGTATCTTTGTTGATGAGGTATGTTTCTTGTAGGCAGCATATAGAGGGGTCTTATTTCTTTCTTTCTTCTTTTTTTTTTTTTTTTTTTTTTTTTTTTTTTTTTTTGCTTATTTGACTGGTAAAATTAGACAGTATGAGAGAGAGACAGAGAGAAAGGTCTTCCTTCCATGGTTCACCCCTCAAATGGCCGCTAGGGCCGGTGCTGCGCCAATCCGAAGCCAGGAGCCAGCTGCTTCCTCCTGGTCTCCCATAAGGGTGCAGGGACCCAAACACTTGGGCCATCCTCCACTGCCTTCCTGGGCCACAGCAGAGAGCTGGACTGGAAGAAGAGCAGCCGGGACTAGAACCTGGCTCCCGTATGGGATGCCAGTGCTGCAGGTGGAGGATTAACCAAGGGAGCCACGGCACTGGCCCAAGGGGTCTTGTTTTTTAAGCCATTTGGACACTTTATGTCTTTTAATTGGATAATTTAGGCCATTTTCATGCAAGGTTATTGTTGATGAGCAATGACTTAGTCCTACCATTTTTTCATAAATAATTCCATTATTTGTTTTGGATTTCCTTTTTACTTTTAACTAGAAAGTTTTCAGCCTTCACATTCTTTCATGATGCCGATTATCTTTCTCTGTTTCTATTTGTAGCCCATCCTTAACTATCATTTGTAAAGCTGACTGGCTGGTGACAAATATTTTCAATTTCTGTTTCTTTTGGAAGGTCTTTATTTCACCTTCATTTATAAATGAGAGCTTTTCCTTGGTATGGTATTCTGGGTTGACAGGGTTTTCATTTAGGACATAGACTATGCCTCTATTTTCTCCTAGCCTGTAAGGTTGCTGATAAGAAATCATCTGTCATTCTAATTGGAGATCCTTTGAAGTTAATCTGGCATTTTTTTCTTGTACATTTTAAAATTTGTTCCTTATGTTTTGCTTTTGAAAATTTGACCATAATATGTCATGGTGAAGGACTTTTAGGGGTTCTGTGTGATTCCTGCACTTGGATGCCCGCATCTTTCTCCAAATTAGGGAAACTTTCTGCTGTTACTTCACTGAGTAATTTTTCTAAGCCATTCTGTCATTCCATACCTTCAGGAACGCCTAAGACATATATATAGGTGGTTGTTTGATGGTATCCCATGAATCTCAAACACTGTTTTCAGTTTTTGTAATTGTTTTTTGTCTGACTGAGATGTATCCAAAGATTTGTCTTTTAGCGTGGATATTCTTTTTTCTGCTTTACAGAGTCTGTTGTTAAGGCTTCCACTGTTTGGGGTTTTGCTTTGTTTTATTTTGGACATACTGAATTCTTCATTTCTAATATTTAAGTTTGATTTTTTTTTAATATCTATATCTCCTGGCAGAATTGCTCATCCATGTCATGTATGGATTTCTTTAACTCATGTATTTGCTTCTTTTGGTTTTTGTGTAATTGTATGACTATTCTTTAGAATTTCTTTTCAGGTGTTTCATCGATCTATTTATTGTCACATAACAATATTGAAATGTTGTGGTTTTTTGGGGGAATCATATTGTTTTCCTTGTTCATGTTTATTGTATTTCTATGTTTATTTTTATGCATCTGTGGAAACACTTGATGGTTTTCGCCTCTTAGGGCTTTGTTCTTGAAATGTACCTCTATAGCTTAGTTGAATGCCTGCTCCTGCAGCGGATATCCAGAGGTGTGTTCTGGGTGGGCCCACAGAGCTCTGGACAGTGCTCAAGGATGGGGCAAAAGTCCAGAGTGATACCCACATTGGGTGTGGTCGTTCTCCTATTTTGTCAGCTTAGGTATTCAATTAATATTTTTTAAATAAATTGATGATGGCTACTCTCCCTTTAGACACTGCAGTAAGTTTACTTGTTTCTTTTTTTGGGTATGGTATTCAAACTGCTAAAGGATAGATACCTAATATTAAACTGTAGGCATGTAGCCTGTCAGCACAATGGAGGAAACAATGATAATTTGAAGCTGCTTTGATTATGTAGTAAAATCTTAAAAACATAATTCATTTGTGCAGCAGAATCCTCTGAAATAATAATTTGATCATTATAATTTGGAAAAAAGAGATGAAGAAAAACACAAGACAGGAAAATAGTTATACAATTTTTGCAAGTATTATATAATTTGGAAAAAAGAGATGAAGAAAAACACAAGACAGGAAAATAGTAATACAATTTTTGCAAGTATTACTTATATAATGTTATTCATCAGGCTACATACATCAAGTGCTTTATTATTACGACATGAAAGAACTAAGATGCAAGTTTATAGACTAGTTGGTAAGTAGTAATGGTCATTTTAGTGGTGCATAGCCTGAGAAAATTCCCTGCGACTTAGTAAGAAAAAAAACTCTCCAATTCACTTATGTTATAAACATACATAATCCTGTAAATTTTGTAGCTGTCAGAGTGTAGTACTTAGAGAATAATCTTTGGAATCAGCAAGTCTGTGTTAAAGATTCTTACTTCTCATTGACTATCCTGAAAATTACCTTAACCTATCTGACTATGCCTTAGCCCCCTCACATACTTGTTCTAAGGGAGAAAAATAATAAAAACATGTGAGAGTGCTTGTTCTATGAAACGGTACTGAGTGTAACCTTCTCTTTCTTATAGAAGAGGATAAATACAGTATTTATTCACCCCTGCTCTTCAAGTATTTCCTGGCCGAGGGAATCATCAACGGGCATACTTTATTGGTCGCATCTGCTAAAGAAGACCCCGCTGACATTTTACAGGTATAAAATATGTTAACTCAATAGTGCATTTTGAATACTTCATGAAAAGAATTCATATATGTAATCAATATATATATGTATGCAAACTACATTTAAATGCATTAATGGAGCTGTACTTTTTTTTAGAAATTTATCAATGCATTAGATTCTCAAGGTCACAGCAAATGCATGATAATTACAACAACACAATTGTAATCAATTATGTTAATGTGATGTTAATACAAAGAGAAGATGGGGGGCACCGCAGCTCACTAGGCTAATCCTCCGCCTTGCGGCGCCGCCACACTGGGTTCTAGTCCCGGTCAGGGAGCCGGATTCTGTCCCGCTTGCCCCTCTTCCAGGCCAGCTCTCTGCTGTGGCCAGGGAGTGCAGTGGAGGATGGCCCAAGTCCTTGGGCCCTGCACCCCATGGGAGACCAGGAGAAACTCCTGGCTCCTGCCATCGGATCAGCATGGTGCGCCGGCCACGGCGGCCATTGGAAGGTGAACCAACGGCAAGGGAAGACCTTTCTCTCTGTCTCTCTCTCTCACTGTCCACTCTGCCTGTCAAAAAAAAATACAAAGAGAAGAGAGTCAATGTACCTCATAAATACAGGGTTTTGTTTTTGTTTTTGTTTTTTGTTTGTTTGTTTGTTTGACAGGCAGAGTGGACAGTGAGAGAGAGAGAGACAGAGAGAAAGGTCTTCCTTTTGCCGTTGGTTCACCCTCCAATGGCCGCTGTGGCCAGCCCACCGCGCTGATCCGATGGCTGGAGCCAGGTGCTTCTCCTGGTCTCCCATGGGGTGCAGGGCCCAAGCACCTGGGCCATCCTCCACTGCACTCCCTGGCCACAGCAGAGAGCTGGCCTGGAGGAGGGGCAACCGGGACAGACTCTGGCACCCCGACCGGGACTAGAACCCGGTGTGCCGGTGCCGCAAGGCAGAGGATTAGCCTAGTGAGCCGCGGTGCCGGCTTTTTTTTTTTATTTTTTTAAAAATTTATTTGAAATGCAGAGTTACAGAAAGAGTAGAAGAGATAGATAGAGGGATCTTCTATCCACTGGTTCACTCCCCAAATGTCTGCAACTACCATGGTTGGGCCAGGAAGAAGCCAGGAGAGAGGCGTTTCTTCCAGGTCTCCCACATGGCTGCAGGAAAAATATCCTTTAGTTATTTACCTCTGATTATAGCATTCTCATTTTGACCTGATTAATCTATTTTCATTCTAACTATTGCTATGTAGAAGCAGATTTTCAAAATATCTAAGCCTTTTTTTTATGATTCATAAAGTATGACTTAACTCTTAAGAAATCGTTGGGGCAGGCGTTTGGCATAGCAAGTTAAGCTGCCACCTGCAATGATGGCATCCCTTATGGGCACAGATGTCTAGTCTCAGCTGCTCCACTTCTGATTCGGCTTCCTGCTAATTTTCCATGGGAAAGTGTTAGAAGATGGCTCAAGTACTTGGGTCGTTGCACCCACATGAAAGACCCAGATGAAGCTTCTGGCTCCTGACTTCAGCTTGGCTCAGCTCTGGTCATTGTGCCAAAAGATGAAAGATTTGTCTGTTTCTGTCCTGCTCTCTATATAACTCTGCTTTTCATATAAGTAAGTAAATCTTAAAAAAATAATAAATAAATTCCTTAAAGGAAACAGAATTTTTTTTTAAGATTTATTTTACTTAGTTGAAAGAATTAGAGAGAGAGGTAGAGCCAAGGAGACAGAGAGGTCTTCCATCCACTGGTTTACTCCCCAAATGACCACAATGGCCAGAGCTGAGCTGATCTGAAGCCAGGAACCAGTAGCTTCTACTGGGTCTCCCATGGAGGTGCAGGGACCTAAGGACTTGGGCCATCTTCCTCTGCTTTCCCAGGTCATACCAGAGAGCTGGATTGGAAGAGGAGCAGCCAGGACTTGAATCGGCACCCATATGCAGCGCTACAGGCTGGGGCTTTAACCTGCTACACCACAACGCTGGCCCCAAGAAACTTGAATTTTTAATCTTCACCTTGAAACTATTAGATGAGATTAGTCTGGGCAATTAGATTAGTTTAGTGTGGGAAATCACCACTATAGGATTTCAAATAATGGAATAAAAATAATTGGGGTATCTATCTGTCTATATAAACAGCAAGTTATATGACATCTATAATATTTTAATTTCTACTTAAGCAAAAATATACTGGTTCCCAAGAACTATAATATTTGCCATTTTTACTACAAACTTTATAGCTTTATTCTAAATATATGTAATTAAATTAAAATGTTCATAAATACAAAGATTGTTGTATTGAAGAAGTAATATACTACATAGTCGTGATACTGGAGAATGCTGGGAAAAAGTAAGGAAAAACAGCTGTAGATTATCTGATAATTATATTACCAAGTATACCAAATATATAAATCAGAACAACAATATAGAAATTGGAAGTAATAATTAAGTAAAATTGTTTTGCTTAAAGAATGACAGAGATGAATAAGCAGTAATGATAAAATGTGTGATTAAAATATCATATCTTCTTTAAGCCAGGCATACTTTTTAGCTTAGAACAATTCTGACTTTCAGAATTCTTAATTTCTTTGTCTAGGACAGGACCCCAACTTAAGACATTGTTTGAATAGAATCCATGATCTAAAGTCACTTCTCCATTTAATAGTTGTAATTTCAGTACATAGTCTACAAAATAACAAATAAATATGTTATTTACAATGAATTTGTAGGATGCTAAATACTGTTACAATAACTGTGAACAACACCAACAAATTTTCCATAAAAGTTTGTTTCAGAGCATAAAGATTATGCTGACAGTCAAGTTAAAACTGGAATGGTTCCTTCACATGGATTAGATTTTGCTTACTAAATAGTATTACTGGATTGGGTCTTGTGGCACAATTTATTAAGCTATTAATTGGAATCATAGTGTGTACTTGAGGTGTCAACTACTCGATTTCTCATTCAGCTTCTTGCTATTGCACCTAAGACACATTAGATGATGACCCTGGTACTTAGGTTCCTAACCACCTCATGGGAGACCTGGTAAGAGATCCCAGCCTTGGCTGTTGTAGGCATTTGGAGAGTGAATCAGTGGATGGAAGATACCTCTCTCACTCTCTCTCACTCTCTCTTTTTCTCTTTCATTTTGTCTTTCAAATAAATAAATGAACCTGTAAAAAAAATATTGAGGGGCCAGCACTGTGGCGTAGCAAGTGAAGTCGCTGCCTGCAGTGCCAGCATCCCATATGGGTGCTGGTTCGAGTCTTGGCTCCTCCACTTCTGAGCCAGCTCTCTGCTATGGCCTGGGAAAGGAGTAAAAGATGGCCCAAGTCCTTGGGCCCCTGCATCTGTGTGGGAGACCCTGAAGAAGCTCCTGGCTCCTGGCTTTGGATCAGCACAGCTGTGGCCGTTGCAGCAAATTGGGGAGTGAACCAGGGGATGGAAGACCTCACTCTCTCTGCCTCTTCTCTCTCTGTGTAACTCTTTCAAATAAATTAATTAATTTAAAAAATATTGAAATTGACATCCAATTGAGAAATCCTTGTATTTTTTTCTGTTTGCAAGGCCTATTTTCCCCTTTGATCATTTTTGGTTGTTTAGTTTTTCCAACATTTTCTTTTTTTCTTTTTTTTTTTAAGATTTATTTATTTATTTATTTATTTAAAAGAGTTATGCAGAGAGAGAGAGAGAGGTCTTCCATCTGCTGGTTCACTCCTCAGTTGGCCGCAGTGTCTAGAGCTGATCTGATCTGAAGCCAGGATCCAGGAGTTTCTTCCAGGTTTCCACATGGGTTCAGCAGTTGGGACATTTTCCAGTGCTTTCACAGGCCATAGCGGAGAGCTGGATCTGAAGTGGAGCCGCCAGGACTCAAACCGGCGCCCATATGGGATGCTGGCACTGCAGGCAGCCGCCTTACCTGCTACACCACAGCACTGGCCCTTACAACATTTTCTTAATGTTTTATTTGTTCTGTTGCTTTTTTCTGTCACTTGAATTATCTTGGTCAATTTCTGGACAGTATGCACCTTCTAGAAACTATGGAAAAAAGGTCAAAATCATTGTCATAAACTATACCAGTTCTTCATAGCATATTCTACAATATACTGAGCCTGAGATTTTATATCAAACATCTTTTTAGCATCATAGGAAATTTTCACCTTTCCAGAAATAGGAATTCCTATGCCTGCTTTTAAAATAAAAGGCTTATTTTTCTTTCTTGCCTCTAAGCAACTCAGATAGTAATGTTAAAACACAGCACATGTACTTGCACGTTTTCCTTTAGAAAACCATATTTTTATTTCAGAGTAGTCTGTGACATCTTTCTTAGATATTTTGAATTTTTACAAGTTAGTTTTAAAGATTTTATTTTACTTATCCTTCTTTAGATTATGTGAAGACGTTTGAGGTTATAAAAGAGATAGTAGCTTTTTCATCAGGCTTTCATAAATATCCTGTCATAAATACAAGTAGCAAGACACTGCAGGCATTTATACAGCAATTTTATAGGGGAGGTAAAAAATATAGTTTAAAAAGTAAACTCTGAAAAAGGTGCAGCAAATCTGAACAAACTGCAAAGTCTAGCCAACGTGGATTAATCAGGACCACAGCTGTCCCCATGTACTTAACAAATTAAAAACCAACCAACCAAACAAAAATAATAACTATTCCCATTTGCCAGAGTAGAAACCTCAGAATTCATGTACAGCAGATTATTGTGAAGAGTTTTGCACTGGAGATGAGCCTGAAATAATCATATCTTTTAGGTAAAATAGTTGTCTGTCCCTCAGAACAACTGTTAATTAATATTAGTAGTAATTAATAGTAATACCAAAATATTTGCTAACCAACAGTAAAATATACAATATATGACATCTAATTAAAACGTAGTAGGCTTGCTAAGAATCAGGAGAATGCAGATTATAAAGAGGAGAAAAATCAATTTAAACAAAAAATAAATGGCATACAGAATATAATTACATAAGCATATTAGTTTTTATTATAGTTGTATTTTAAATATTCAGTAAGCTA